TTTCTTAAATATGCCTGCAGACTTTCCACACACAACTCACGACACGAGACTAATTTCCCGCAGTTTTTACGTGCGAGCCCTGTGAGGGACTAAAACATACGGCGCTCGTACGGTTTCATTCAAAACACTTTCCTCACTTTTAAATACGCAACGTCCACAATGAATACGATAATTAGGCTACGTGACGAATTTACCATTTAAACTGCATATTTCATAAAGGCTGCTGATATAGCTGGTTTACAACTAAGGATTTGACGATGCTGCATTTTGTAAAAAAATCTAACCGGCTAGCTGTTACTATTTAATGTTTTACAGAATAAATACATTACTCCTCTCACTTCCATATCAAAGACTGTATGCTGAACAGTGAAATTAGCTTGCTGTTACCACAGCTTGTTAAGTATTCATATTAACTTAACATAAAACACTGCCCGCTCCGAGTGACGTCCTCCTCGAGTCAGAAGTGAAGAATCCAGAAAGTTCCGCAAAGAATAAACCAGTTGCTGGGTCAAAATAACCCAACCAGCTGTTTATTTGTGAATTACCCACTTACAACTCATTTGACCCAGCATGAGCAAACCAATAATGTGTTTACAGTGCCCCAAACAACCCAGCACAATCAACCCAACAATTTGTTTACAGAAACAACCCAGCATTTTTTTGAGTGTGTGTATTGTCCCCTGTTGCACCGAGCTCTTGGTTGCCGCTCCGCACATGTCGTCGTCTTCTCACCGTCTGCCACGAAGACAAGAGTTGAATCTCCTCATGATCCGTGACTGCTGTGGACGGTACGACGGCGACAGGGAACCCGCGAGCTGCCATATCTCTCGTCGCTTCTGCTGCGTCCTGGTAGAGACGGGTGCCATCATCATAAAACACCCGCATCTTCGCTGGATATGGGGTCTGAAATTTTTCATTTTTCAGTATTTTTTTGGCACCCACGTACTCGTTGCGTTTTTTAAGCACTTCAACTGGAAAGTCATGGTCAACAAAGAAACGCATTTCATCACAGAATACTTCTTTTTTCTGCCATGCTTTCCAGATAACCTCCTCTTTTGTACGGTAGCTCCCAAACTTTACCACGATAGAGCGGGGCTTCCCCTGCGCACTGTCCAGCTTTTGAGTCAGTGCTCGATGTGCTCGTTCAATTCCCAGATCCCGGTCGTCAGAAAGGTCTAGCGCTTTTTTAAACAAATTATCCAGAAAAGGAACCATATCGGCCCCTTCCTTATTTTCGGGTATCCCGTAAATCCGAAGATTCTCCCTACGTGCACGACCCTCCTGGTCTATCAGCTTAGCTTCCAGCTTAGCTTGGCGTTGGGTTAGCCTCTTAATTAGCATCGATGCCGCTTGTAGCACCGTCTCCGTTTCCTCTATTCTTCCCTCCGCTTCATCTAGTCTGTTGTTCACGCCTTGTATTTCTTGTTTAATGTCCGCCAACTGCACGTTATTATCTTTTCTAAATTCACTTAGTTCGTCCAGGATACGTTGCAGGCTGGGCTCAGGTGTGTCGCCGCCCTGAGGGCTTAGCTCCGGGGAGTAGCCTCGGTCACCATGGCTCGAAGTGGTGTCGTCCTCAACCAAATTTGCGGTTTTCCTACTTCTGGTAGAAACCCCCCTTTCCATCTTGACAAAAATTCCCAGGTATTAGCAAAAAGAGTAACTTAGGGGTATATTTTTAAGACACCGTCGGGAGCTAACAAATCAAGCTGCCATCCTCTCGCTAGCGGAACCGGAAAACCTTTTTTTTTTTTTTTTTTTTATAATTAGGAACAATCCAGATATACCAGGTCTATTTCCAAACGGTCAAGAGATTAAGCTGACAATGTATGCTGATGATGCAACCTTTTTCATAAAATCAACACAATCCACTTTGGAAGGACTAATAAAGGAATTAAATACTTTTTCTAAAATATCTGGATTGAAACCCAATTTTGCGAAATGTAACATTTTGAGGATTGGGACATTAAAAGACACCAATTTTATTTTAAACAGTTCTGCTCCTGTTAAATGGATTAATGGAGAAGTTAATATATTAGGGATTCATTTACCTGATAATTTCAAAGAAATTGTTAAATACAATTATGAGAGAAGTATGGAAAAGGCAGATAGAATTTTTCAACCTTGGAGGGGGAACTCTCTGACAACTCAAGGAAAAGTAACTCTGATTAATACATTAGTAATTCCACAATTTGCCCACTTACTAATGCTTCTTCCTTCACCTAGCATAAAGTTCTTTAAACATTTTGAACAAAAATTTAAAATTTATATGGAAAAATAAACCAGATAAAATGAAAAGGCAGAACCTGTATAATTCTTATGATAACGGTGAACTGGATTTAAAAAAAAATCTTCAAATGATGGACTGTTCCTTGAAAGCCTCCTGGGTTGCTAAAATTTATCACAACAAACAATGGATCACGAGCCAGAGATTATATTCAGCCTTTTCCTTCTTCTCGAACAATATATTTCCTTTTTACCAATTAAAAACAATACATATTGATAAACTATTTCAAAACAGTTTAAAAGAGTTATCACCATTCTTCAAGGATGCACTGAAAGCTTGGTTGAATTTCCAGTACCACCCTCCAGATACAATTCAAGATATTCAGACACAGTTGCTATGGATGAATTCAAACATTACGGTTGGAGACAAGCCATTGTTGTGGGAGGAATGTGTCAAAAATGGGTTAATTTTTGTCAATGACCTTTTAGACTTATCTGGAGATTTTATTTCTTGTGAAAATTTGAGAATTCTTTTTGATTCAACCAGCTGATTTCTGCAATTCCTAAAACTTGGAAAATAAAATTGCAAAATGGTAAGAAGAATAAATGAATGGTTTGTCTCCCACCAATACGATGCCTAAAATGGTTGTCTGGTGTAAAGATAAATAAAATAATATATATTTGGAATTTAAATATCACAGGCACTTCACTTTTTCCACACAGAACCTACCAGTTTTGGGAAGATGAATTTAATGATCCAATTTTATGTAAGGATTACTTTAGAACAATTTATAGAACTACAATTGATTCATATTCCAGAATATTTCAACTTAAAATCTTTTATAAAATTATTGCAACAAAAAAATCTTTATTCAAATGGCAGATAGAAAAGGATCCCTGTTGCAGGTTCTGTGGGGATGAGGAGGAGGACTTGATGCAGTTGTTTTATTTTTGTCCATATGTGGCTAAGTTTTGGGTCAGTATACAGTTATGGTTTAAGGTCTATGGATATTATTTTACGAATCACACCTCAGAATATTGTGTATGTCTTTGAGGGTAAATGCACACATTTTTTTGAATATGATTATCTTGATGGGTAAAATGTTTATTTTTAAAGCTAAAACTATATCAAATTTATGTATAAAAAATTTAAGAATAGAGTTTATCATCAGTATATATATGCTGGAAACAATTATAGCAACAAATAACAGAATAACTGAGCATGTAAAGAAATGGAATGTCTGCTTTAGAGATATAAATATTAGGTGTACTTTCTTAAAGGTGTGCCATGTGTTATGTCATAAATGTTTTGCTAATTGTATTGTATTTTGTTTATTGATTTTTTGATCAGTATTATTGATTTATTCTAATTTATAATTTATTTGATTTATTGTTTGCTTTGTGCTTCCTTTCTATTTATAGTTTGCTTTCCTGTCACAACACTATGAATGTGTGGATGATTGTGGTTGTGATTGTGGTGTGAATGCATGGGGGATTGATTGGGGTGGGTGGGGGTTTTGAAGCTTGTCTTTTTATTTTATTCTGTAAACAAGTAAATAATTATTATTTTTTTTTATAAAAAATTGAATAGAAGAGAATGTGTTCGTATTATCAAGTGCTGCTGAAAAAGATGCGTCTTCAGACGTTTCTTGAAAGTTGCTACGGACTCAGAAGCTCTGGTTGAGTTAGGCAGATCATTCCACCAGCAGGGAACAGTCATGGTAAAGGTCCGAGAAAGAGATTTTGTGCCTCTTTGAGATGGTACCACAAGACGACGTTCGCTTGCAGAGCACAAGTTTCTGGATGGCAGAGCCAGTGGTTGTTCTGTAGGAAAACGTCAGTGACTTGAATTTGATGCGAGTGGCAACTGGCAACCAGTGCAATTTTGTGAGGAGAGGAGTGACGTGTGCTCTCTTCGGCTCGTTAAAGACCTCTCTGGCTGCAGCATTCTGGATCAGTTGCAGAGGTTTGACAGAGAAAGCTGGAAGACCAGCCAGGAGAGCATAAAAATATAAAAACAGCCCTCATAATAATCACAAATACACTTACATTTCTGTAAATCAGTTTTTATGAATGAATGGCTTGCTCTAATTGTTTCTCTGGTCTTCGTAAACAACACGCGCTTGCACCTCCTGCTGGTGAGGTCGACTAACAGCAGATGGAGATTATGCTCTGTAATCTACTGCTTTTCCGGCAGTTCCTGGATGTCAATGTTGAATTTACTGTCGAATTTGAAACACTGAGTTTGTGGAAGCGAATTTGTAAAGCGAAATTAAATGGACCGAAAATTGCCTGTTGAATATTATAGGTTGTGTTTTTAAACAGTTTGAATATTTTGGAAGTGAAATGAAAGGTGAATATGGATTATTGAATTTTTAATAATGAAAATGTGTTTGAAATGCTTTGAATTGAAATATTCACAGCTTAAATATTCAACCATGTTGAATTTCAGCCAATATAAAATGCAAGTCCTAAAAATACAATGCATTAAAATGCAAGCATGGTTAATGCAATGCATTTTTTTTTCAAGTAGTGGAATTCAACAGGCTTTTGTTTCAAAAACATTTGCCATTATTTTACTTCCATAGGTGTGTATAACTTTAAATCCACTGTACTTATTTGTAGGTTTTAATCTCTGACCAGTTACTGAAATATCTTTGTCACACCCTCAAAAATTCCTTTTTGGTGAATAGTTGTCCTCAGTTCCTAAATAATACACTCTTCACACTATGGTACTTTTTACATTGACTTTCTCTGTACTTCTGCTGTTTCAGGTCCATCGAAATCTGTCCCAGCTGCCAAACTTTTCCTTTTCTGTGGCTCTTTCCTACTATCACCTCAGCCAACAGGAAGACATTTCACCTGTGGAGAACCAACAACTAAAGCAGAAATCCAATGTGCTCCTGCAAAACGCTTTAATCATGTTTCCTGGGGGTGAGTTTCAGATCACTTTGACATATTTCCCACATTTATTTAAACTTAAGGAATATATAAAAATAATACAAAAATCCATGTCATAACCCCTTTACGACTATAGCTCATAACTGATATTAGTTAATTTTCAAGTATCTTTTCTGTTGCTGTTGTCCAAGAATCTGACATATTTTATGGAATAGCCGTTCAATCAATTTACATTTAGAGAAAAAATAAGGAAGAGCTTGTGTGAGCCAACACTCTGTTATGCTGTGGTGCTTTCATAATTTTACTGTTGTCTTGCTATCAACAACACGTGAGGAAACCATTAGATGTGGTGTGAGTAAATTACCTAGGTATTACAGGAATTGTTACATATTGACTGAATCAATTTAAGGGGTCTATTTTTGGTAGGGCTGGAATGAAGCGTCAACTGTTTATGAATGAAGCGTCAACCTAGTTCCCTGTCATGTTTTACACAAAACAAAACTCTAGAGCAGATGCTAATAGCTAGTATGTCAGTTTTCACATTTTCAGGACTCAAAATCGCATGCAGCGACAGTTTCAAAAATGGCGATGTCCATAACATTAGGAAGTTTTATCACAGTTGACAGCGTGTTATTGAATAAACGAGTCCAATCAAGGCGTGAGTTCATCCATCAGATATTTTAAACAACCAACGAGGACTTAAAATGATTAGTAACTGAGTGCTGAGTACAGAGAGTACATTTAAGTCAAGCGGCTCACACCGACTGCAGCTCCGGTGCATCTGCGGTTGCAAATCATTCACGCTCATAAAAAACAAAACGCTGTTTGAACTCAATCGTGTTAAGTGGCGTTACCATACTAGCCATTAGCATCTGCTCTAGGGTTTTGTTTTGTGTGAAACATGACAGGGGATTAGGGATGAAGGTTCAAGTCCTGATTTTTATTTGTGTAAACTCAAAATAGCAAAACATTGTGCTTTTATAAAATAAAGAAAACAAACAGGATGTGCTTTATGCGTGTTACATGAACCAAAACTCAGAATATACTTGCCTCAGCTCATTATATGTATACTCGTAGCTCTGGCTATGCATATGGTGATCACCTGGCTTGAGCCATGCAAACGCACTCCATCACCTCAATAAAAAAAAAAACATTACGCTTCATCAGATTTATGTACTTTTCATCGTTTTTGGAAAAGGACACACTGTGTGTTATTAGCCAAAATTTACCTTAGAAGAAGAGTGCTATCCGACACAAGCTAGATTCAATGGAGGATATCATTTCTGACAGGCAAGTCATTTATTCTTTCTTGCATTAGTTAACATGTTATTTATACATAAGCGTACACATTTTACTAACTGGGCTTTTCCCAAACTAGATGGCCAGAATGAAATGTATGAATTTGTGTGAAACATGATGAAATATGAAATATATAGGCAGATCTTTTTTATTACATATAAATGCCATATTAGATGTACGTTTTATGGTGTATAATATAAACATAATATAAATGATATATAGTGCGATATAAAAGTAATACAGTATGAATGTTTACACTGTAATATGATTATTACAGTCTAAGAATGTCTAGACCAGTATTTGCTGTGAAATATTTGTTTGCGCAAATACTTGCTCGTACGTAGATGTGCTAAATGATGATAATGTAGTTTATAAAATATGAAAATGTTGTTCATGTACTGTCAATACATACAAAGCACATGTGTGTGTATGACAGTAAAAAAAAATATCATGGAAATATTATTATTAGTGGTTGCTAATGTTAATAATAATGTAGTTGCCCCTGATGTCAGCATGCTCAGGGTTTTTTTTTTTGACAGTGACCAGATACCTGCCTGCACAGTAACTTGGACCACACATGAGTTATGCTGGCTCAGTTCCTCCTGAGTCTCTTAAAACGTTTTTTCTCTGAGAGCGCTGTACCAACTCTGTGCCACAACACTAATGCCTAGGCTGCGAGGTCAATTTCAAAGGGTCACAAATACAAATGGACATGTAAGCATCAGTGTTTTACATTAGTAGTAACTAATTTAACATAAAAAAAAAAAAAAAAAAAAAAAACCTTTCCTCTAAATCCTCGCATGCCTGGCTTATGCTACTCCGAGCTATGTCTGAACTTTGTATTTTGAGCACTTCTTGCGTTGTTTTTGCCTCTTCACAATGACACGCTTGGTTTAGTCCTCAGTTGTAAGTCGCTTTGGATAAAAGTGTCTGCTAAATGACTAAATGTAAATGTAATTCCGGTCCTGGCGCACCCAGCCACCACCCCACTAGGTTCGGGGTGAGTAGGGCATAGGCATTAAAGTTGCTGTAGGTAACTTTTGTAAAAAAATATTTTTTACATATTTGTTAAAACTGTCATTATGTCCTGACAGTAGAATATGAGATAGATAATCTGTGAAAAAATCAAGCTCCTCTGGCTCCTCCCAGTGGTCCTATTGCCATTTGCAGAAATACACCGCTCCCGGTCAGAAACAACCAATCAGAGCCAGGAGGAATGTCTTAGCAGTGTCAATCACGCTCGTGTACGCGCTGATCACACCCCTCTCTTGCACAGCGCGTACCGTCGTTCAAACCAAACTCAAGATTGCCGGTGTGCCGCAGCTGTGCTAATGGCGGAGAAACAACCTAAACTGCCAATTTCTCGAGTGGCACCTGCTCATAAAACAAAGAGGTAAAAGGAAAAAGACCGATGACGATAAACAAGCGAAAAAGAAAGAATTAGACAGAGCCCATTGACTCGGTGTCAAAACTCTAGCCGCATAACATGTAGATAAAATGTCACGCACTGTGCAAAGCAACAATTGAAACCTGCTAATTCACTGGCTTGTCATGTTGCTGAAATAATGTTGTGGCAAGCAGGACGAGGCCGAGGGACGTGAGAGCGGTGCGAGGCCGGTGGCATGAGTGATAATGAACGACACCGGTGAGACGCACCGGTCTCGCATCTCTCACGGAGGAGCGGAAGCATAAAGGAGGAGCGACGACAGTGGAGAGAGGAACAGGCCTGATTTTACGTTGTGATTTTATGTTCTGTTTTGTGTGCCAGCAGTCGTCCGTGAGGGGTTGCTGGCTTATACTTTCATTTTGTATTTGTTTATTTATTATTAAACTTGTTGAACGTTCGCCGGTTCCTGCCTCCTCCTCCCCATAACAACTGAACCCCGTTACAAATGTACTAGCAAACCTTATCTAGCATTAGGCCTACATATCGCTAGAATATTACTTGAATTATATTATATATGTTACGTTAGTTACCGTTATGTTATCTTACAAGCTATTTATAACATATAGAAAGGGTGCAACGTTATAAAGTTACATTACATGTATTGCAAAATACGTAATGATTTGAGGACCAAGTTTGTAGTCAAAGTATGGGCAGGCCTTAGTCAATGTAAAGCATATTGTTGATGTTTCGTCCCTATTAGTGAATGTGCCGTAACTGTTTATCCGCCGTCATCGGTGGCCCTGCTTACTAGCCTGCACGTTCACGGCAGGCTCCGCTGTGGGGAGGAGGTGTGGAGGGGAGGGCTGTAGCGCAGCAGAGAGTAAGGGGGTGGGACCTGTAAGTTATGCTTGTTCAAATTTTCAGGCTAAGTCAACGTTTTCTCAAAACTCCCTACTGCAGCTTTAAGCCCAAATTATACTTCGGCCGTCCACGTTCCTCGATGGTCCGCGCACTTTCCATGACGTAATTTTCATCATCCACGGATGGTGTGCGTACAACTGGAAATGTGCGAGTGACTTGAGCACTTGAACAAACAGTGCTAATTAATCAAAAACAACACTGCTAATTAATCAAAATGAAGTATAGGGCCTTGAGCCGCTTTAAAACAAAAAAAGTAACGGTGGAAAATGGAGGAGAGGCTTCACTATGCTGAATTAAACTGCTTTTATGGGAAAACAGCTTATCATTTAATAAAGCAACAGCCTATCGTCAACATATTTGCCCTTAAACCATTAGTTTTGGATTGATCTTTTCTTCTTTCTTTTTTTTTACACAGGAAAAAAAAAGCTGTTTTATAAAATGTCACACACTATTCTGTCCTGGCAATGGTACTCTGAACCAAGCGTTGACAGATAGCTAATAGAAATAAAGCTCCATTACACGTTCTTCTTTGTATGTACAGTGGGGGAAATAATTATTTGATCCCCTGCTGATTTTGTAAGTTTGCCCACTTACAAAGAAATGAAGGGTCTTTAAAGTGTAAATTGCAGGTTAAATTTTTCACGAAGATAATGAAATGTGCTTACTAAACATAAAGATACGAACCACCCACAATTGTTTTTTGTTTTTTTATACCAAAATGCTGCATATAATATGAAAAGTTGGTACGTTTTACATTGTTTTTAAGCACGCCCCTCCCTTCCACTAGGCTGGGCGTGACGTCATAAAAGGGACTCCAAGCTTTTACTGTCTATGCCTGGTCTATGCTCCAAGCCTAGAGTTACCGTTAGTCTAAACGGCAAGTAGGCTAGCAGGTATATTGAAGACCTAGCTAGCAAAAATGGTTAACTATTATGTTTGTGTGGGATGTACGAATACATCAAAAACGGGGGAGAGGGTCCACAAGTTCCCCAAGGACAAACGACTGATTCGTGCCTGTAAGTGTTAGCATACCCGAGGTAGATCTCGGGTATGCAAGCCCGACCCTACCCGAGCACGTTGTGTCCGAGCCCAGCCCGGCCCGACACATTAACTGTAATTATGAGCCCGAGCCCGATTTAAACCCGACCATTTTTTAATACGTGGGTCATTATTATAACTGACGTTCTCAACTACTTTCTATGTTACTTTTATGTTTTGTCCCGCTCCCGCCCGCAAAAAGCCTTTTTTTCTGTACCTCCAAATACTTTCAAGTTAGCCTACGTGTCGCCACCATACACATCAGCATAAATGCTCCTGATAAATTATTTGTTATTAAAGCATTAACACACAAACCAAACTGTTATAACATAAAAACAAGCAGGCTAACTTACAGTCATGCATGGTTTGGCATGACTGCGCGCAAAGT